TGAGACAAAAGCGTAATTCTCACCTCAAAGGGATGTGAATGAAAATTCCCAGAAAAACCTTACATCTTCAAACTGGACTTTCTTCTGCAAGGCTGAATAACTAATTAGTGTTGCAGTAATTGTGGTGAGTCTAGAATGTAGCAGGTCTAGAGCCTAATTACCATTTATCTCAGGTTACCTTTAACCCCTAAATAGCCATTTCCTTGCCCATCTCTGTTTCTGACCTAACCCTGTTATTAACAGATTAAAAACAAAAACAAAAACAAAAAACAACAACAAAAAAACAACAAAAAAACCCCAAACAACAAAAAACCCATCTTGTAAGGTATTTATTAGCAGAACAGCAGATCCCACCAACCAAAAAGCTAAGAATGTCATCAGATAGCATCTGAGACCTATAGTACAAATCCTCCCACTTTGCTATGACCTGCCTACTGAATGTATCCACCAATGTATTTGAAAAGTGTCTTGATTTATGACTTTGTTCTGTTACTATAAAAACTTCACGAAAATGCTTCCACACTGGAACATGGTATTTGGGAAAACCTAAATCTGTGTTCCTGGGTCATGGTCACTCATATTTGGTTCCAGAATAAACTATCTCTAATCCCCTGTCAACGAAATAAACAGCACTTACCTCAAAGGAATAAAAGAGATGGTTTATTCTGAGCCAAATATGAGTGACCATGGCCTGGGAACACAGATTCAGGTTATTCCAAGTTCCACGTTCCAGCATGGAAGCAGTTTCATTAAGTTTTTATAGTAACAGAACAAAGAAAAGTCATAAATCAATACACTTTTCAAAAGCATTGGTGGGAACAGTAAGAAGGTAGATTTAGCAAAAGAGAAATCTCAGCTATAGGCCTCAGATGGTATCTGATGGTCCCTTAGCCTTTTGATAGGTGGGAACTGTTTCTTTTATTAAGCTAATACATTCTATCAGTTGTAAGATATCAGTTGCAGAAACAGAGGTGGGCAAGGAGTGGCTATTTAGGGGCTACAGATAACCTGAGATAAATAGTAATTAGGCTCTGGATCTGTAACATTCCAGACTCTCCACAATCACTGAAGTGTTAATCAGTTGGTCAGTCTTGCAGGGAGTTTAGTTCAAGATACAGGATTTTTCAGGAACTTTCCCTCATACCCTTCTTGTGTTGGAATCAAGTAGTATTATGGTAAAATAGTCATTCTTTTTGCTTTAAATTCTTAAGATCTATCTTATTTCAATCCTTGAGGCTACATTGGACCCTGGAGTCCAAAGGAATATCCTAGGTGGAGAGACAAGTGCGAAGACCTGTAGAGTGGAGTAAAGTGGCCCTCCTCTCTACTCTGAGGCCCCAAGGAGATATGATGGGTTAAAGCTCTTTTTCCCCCATCATTTGTTGCCCAGGCATCCCAGGGTGAATCCAAGTGTAACCACAGGAGAGCTAAAAACACTGGCTTGTGTCCTAATTCTCTGCATTAACTCCTTCCCTAGTTGGGATTTGAACCTGCCATTTAGTGTTTCTCTCTCTCTCTCTCTCCCTCTCTGCCTCTGTTTCTGTCTCTGTCTCCCTGTCTCTGTCTCTCTCTGTCTCTCTCTCATCCTACAACACTGGAATGCTAGCCCCTGCTATAAGCATCTCTTAGGTTATGTTTTTTTATCTAAGTAGAATAAAGTCTTTCTTCCAAGAAGCTCTTTAAAAATTCACGAACTCTTAGGCTGCTAGGTTCAGAGAGGAGATTTGCTTGTATGAATGGTTTTGCTTTTTTTTTTTTAACTATTCATCTTACAAGAGCAAACAGTAGCAGGTTTTTCTTTGAAGCTGACAGCTCTAAGGAATTTCCTATCACTTGGGGAATTATCTCTATACCCTTGGGAATACTATTGTCAACAGTAAATGGTCAAGAAGAGCCTGAGGGCAATTAGAGTATTACAAAACTTAAGTGAATAAGACATAGTGGCAGAAAAGTGGGTAGTAAAGTTAACTAGACATCCTGAGATAGATAAGAATCCATTTCCAAGCCTGACCTGCATCCTTTAGTTCCCAAACATGGGTGGGTTTAGGCACTTAGTCTCTGAACAGTATTTGCTTTGCTTCCTGTCCTGTTTGCTGTGCCAATGCATCTCACTCTTTAACCTCTGGGCACACGGAGATGGGGTCCTAGACTTCAAGTTCCTGCCCCCTCCAGGGGTTTGTCCTATAGAACAAACAAGCTTGGAGGCATCTGATGGGATGGGGACCGGAAGACAATGGAGGATGGGCATTAGGACCCTGTGGATAACAGGGTCTGCATCTGCCCCCATCCAGCCCCAGGACTGAGGTGGATGGATTCCTGAGGGAGTTATCTCCTATGGAGCAGTCAAAGGTAATGTGAGAGAGCCCATCTGAGTTTGTTCTCATCATCCTGGTGGAGCCTTTGGGAAAGTGAAAGGAAAAAAGAGAAAGGACTGGGGAAAGGAAGAACTGGGTGGGCAGATGAATGCCAGGGGCATGGGAAAGTTGGATGTTGCGGTGCATTGTCCGTGCCTGAACAGCCCTGTGGACGTTGTTGTTTTTATTAGTGTTAGGTGAACTGGGCCCCCAAACAGAGTCACTACTGATCAACAACATGGCAACCACAACCCAGCTGGCAGCATTCCATAAACAGAAAGTAAACCACCCTAGTTTCTCAGTAAGTACCTGACTCCTGCTTTTAACAACACACCCCAATCATAACTGCAATTTTCCGTTGCTGCCAACTGAAAAGCTAAAAAGCACCTAACTGAAACTCTCCTGCTGAGGCACCTGCTGTTGACTCACCCCCACCCTTTCTGCTACAAAGTCACCTTCCCTACCCACAAAAGAAAGAAATCCTATAAAATCCAGCCTGCTCTGACAGAAACCTCTCTCTCTCTCTCTCTTCTCCCCCCCAGAGTGGCCCAGCAGCTCATGTATCCCAATGGATTTTTCCTTTTCCCAATTCAGAGTGGTCTCTTGTGGTCCTGGTCATTCCCCAAACCTAACAATTAGTACCATCATGGTCACCCTTATTTGGACATCTCTGTCTTGGCTGGCCATGTGGCTTGGCTGCTGGGATGGTGGCATGTGCATTAAATTAACCCATTTACCCCTGAAACTTGTGTTCCTGAAGAATTGTGGCTTTGTGCCTCTCAGGTTTGACTGGGAGTGCTGTGGATCTGCGTGGGCCTCCTAGTTTAAAGGTACAGGTCCTGGCCTAACCAATGAGTATGCTTATTTGCCTCTGCATAAGCTTGACTAACATCCTATAATGCAGGTGCTCAAAGTGATGTATGTGACCTGGTGATAACCAATGTACAGAACATCATATTATGTACTGGATGTGCTGATCTGATCCTTTAATTTTTATTATACATTTATTTCACTCCATTTTAAATTGTTGTTGTTGCTTTTTTTGAGACAAGGTCTCATGTAGCCCAGGTTGGCCTCTGGAGCCAATGATGACTTTGAACTTCTGATCTTCCTACCTCCACCTATGAAGTCTATGATTGCAGGGATGTACTACCACCACACTCAGTTTATGTGCTATTCCAGATCCAACCCAGGGTTGAACTCTACTAATTGAGCTACATCCCCAACTTCCCAAAGTTATTTATTTATTTATTATTTAAAGTGTGCCACATGTGTGCAGTGCTGGTAGAAGTCAGAAGAGCCTTGGAACTAGAGTTACAGTCAGTTGTTAGCTGCCATAGGATGCTGGGAACTGATCCCAGGTGCTCTTAACAGTTGAGCCATCTCTTCAACCCCTGTCATTTGACTTTTGAAGTTGTTTTTTTAGTTTGGCTTGGTGGTACTGGGGTTTGAACCGAAGGCCTCGGGCTATGAAAGTTCTGAACTATATCCTCAGCACCCTAAATCTTTTATTATGCTTATCTGTATATATCTCTAAGGTACCTTAGATACTATTTATAATAAGAAAGACCTATAAGTAAAGAAATACATTTTGGGTGTATGTAGAAACAATAGCCCATTTTATTTTTCAGTCATAAAGAAAGCAGCCACATCTTGAAGTGAATATGCCAATGGACTGAGAACCTGAAACGTTTTTCACAGGAGCACCAGGGCTTATAGGCACGAGGGACTGCTATGCTGATAGGCCTTTATTTCCATCCTGTTTTTCTTTCCTCTTTCCTCTGGTCCTTCTACTCTGTTGGAGCCCTTTATGAGGTCTTCAGAGTTCCGCTTCTCAAACACAGCTCTAATCATACCTACCTCCTGGCTATATACATCAATCCTTCTTACTTTCAGAGACAAGGTCAACCATTACTCAGATTTGCATCCTCTGGACCTAGCATAGTCCTGGAACATAGTTGGTATCTGAAGAACAGCCACTGACTTAACTGAATTACATTAAATAAGTTGGTGTTTACAGGCACTAGAGAGCATTTGGTAAAAAGTCTGAATAAACATTTATTCCAGTATCACTTGGCCTGAAACCACCTTCTCTTCCTCATTTTTCTCCACTGTAGCTTTAAACATCACCAACTCTTGTAATTTCATGCATATAGCATGCATTTTTGTGCCTGTGGAACCTTCAACATGCTCTTTCTTTCTACAAGGAAATCCCTTCCTTGAATGTATCATCCTTCTTCAGTTCTAGAGAAAAGAAGACATCCTGGTGACATTGGTCCAAGGCCCCTAAGTAACAATGGCAGGCCTTTATATTTATATAATTTATCTTAGGCATTTCTGGCATCCTTCAAAAGAAAACAAACAACTTTTAGTAGCTATTAGATTAACGAACTGCAATTGAATGTCATTTTTAGCTAACACAGTTCCTTAAGACAAATTAAAACCTACTCCCACTTATTGGTACAAGCAACAATCAGTTCTTCCCAGCATTCAAAATTACTGTTCAAAGGTTGAGCGATGATTAAAATTAATACACATGTACCCAGTTTCTCAACCTCCTACTTTATCATATTGCTCTCTACAGGACGTCTAAAATACACTTTAGAAAATTCTACCATGAAAAGAATAATTTTATCTCCTGAAAATTCAGTGCAAGCCTAGAGTCACTTGAAATTCCCCTAACCACTTCCACATTATTTTTAACACGTGGAGGCCAGGAATGGTGCTGTTGATGCTAATATCAGAGCAAGGAGCGAATGTCTCGTCAGGGATGGTTGGCTCTGGAGAGGGAATAAAGAGAGATACTCGTGCAATGTTGGATATTTCTGATTTCAGATTGGACTTATCCACAGCTTGGATAGCAATGAAGAGATCTGTGCCATTTTCAAAACTGATGTTTTCTGGTTCAAACATGAAGAGTTCCTCTGAGTTGGCCTCCTTGGGGATGAGACCAGTGGTGTTCACTTGGACTGAAACATTAAACTTGTTTCTGAGATCAAGAATGTTTGTACTTATTCGAATGATGTACTCAGAAGCTAAAAGGAAAAGAAAAGAGAGGGGGAGGATGTGACTTGTAACTCTCAAACCCTAAGCTTTGAAAGTCTATTAGAAACTACATTACCACCCCACAAAGTTTCAGTGAATAACTGGACCAGTAAGCCATAATTACATGGTTATTATCTAGTTATGCACTTGTTTATACATCTTAACGGAGTGATAAATGTAAAATTGGTTTGGTCATGACTTAAAGCCTTGGTCAACATTTCAGAGCATTTGACTTGGCTGAGAGAAGAGATTGTTTAATTACTACTTATGATTTCATTATGTGCAGAGGGATTTTTGATACCGGTGTTTCCTGAATATTAATGTGCTCGGGGGATCTTAAAACACAGATTCTGGTTCATTAGGTCTAGGTGGGGTCTGAGACTCTGCATTTCTATTAGGCATTCATACAATACTTGGGCTGCAGCCTGTGGAGCATCCTTTGAGAGGCAAAGTCTGGTAGGCTGGGAGATATCTTTCTAAGATGTTTACCCTCTATTCATAGTCTTTCTCCAGGAAACAATAAGAAACCTCAGTTGGCAAGAAGAAAATCCCCAGAGCTTTCTTTCCTTAGCTGAAACCTCTTATTCTTCAAGTAGGTCAATTAAAAAATTTTTGTTTTATGTGTATGCATGTATTGCCTGCATATATATAAGTGCACCCATGTCATGCAATGCCTTCAGAGGACAGAAGAGACCATCAATTCCCTGGAACTGCAGTTATGGACCATTGTTAGCTGCCATGTGGGTGCTGGGACTTGAACCCAGGTCTGCTGCAAAAGCAGCCAGTGTTCTTAACCACTGAGTCATCGCTCTAGTCCCATGGGGCAACTTTTTAGATTGTAAAATCTTTACCTTTAATTTTGGAGGCCATTCAAAATGCCTTGCCTTATGGCATCTCCTGCATCCTGACATGCCTGCCTGCCTGCCTTACCTCTTCTGTACCTCTGCTTGGTTGGTAAGCTCCTTTTCAGGTCCACGCCATGTTCATCTTACCTTGACCATGGTCATAATCGTCCCCAGGAGCTGTCCAAGTCAGATTAATAAACTTGTACCCTTGAATGCTCGCCTTCAGGTCAGTGATTTGGCAAGGTGGAAAGAGGTCAGGAATGGGAACTTTGGGGACGTTGGAGGCCACAAATGAGCCACCTGAAGATGTTCTGGTGAAGCACAGCTGCTTGTCTTGAACATTGCTAATTTCACGGCGTGGTGGATTCAATTTGATTTCACCTGGGTTAAAAAATATTCAAATTTGGTAAGCAACACCACTGAGTGGTTTTACCTTCCCCTGTTTTCTACAGATCCCTCTTCCTCCTCTTCCTTTCCCCTTTTTCTTCCTACTAACAAAATTCACTTTAAAGTTTGGTGATAAGATTCCAAACTGGGTTTAGTAAGAGAAAAACATCCAAGAGAGGATTACATTCTTCACCTCACAAATGTTTCCTGATAACTTAATAGAATAAATTTTGAAATTTATTTTTATAACATTTGTCCTGTAATTGCTAATTGCCTTTTTTCTCTCATTCTTTTGTCTTTAAACTTTTTAAAAAATAACATTTATTTGTCTGAGAGGGGTCATGAACATGCCACAGTGTTTGTGGGGAGGTCAGAGGACAACCTGCAGGAGTTGGTTCTCTCTTTCTGCTAAATGGGTCCCGGAATTCAGGCTGTGATGTTTGGTGGAGAGGCCTTTACCCACTGAGTCATCTCACCAACCTCTCGTTTTTCTGTCCAATACTATCTCTGTTTAGACATCATATTGCTTTAAGAAATCTCATCACATAGATAATGTTGTGAGTGCCACACTGTCTCCTTTTTATTTGGTCCTTAACCACCTTCAAGAATTCCCTTGATTGTTTATTTTAGGCAGTTTTCACTTTCTCTATATTTGCATTTTATCTTTCTTATTTGATTACAATTTCTCATAAAACGATTTATGTTAAGAGTTTCAAGCACTATCTCTGTTAGTTACCTGGACCAACAATCTCTATAGCCTCTGCTTTCCTGTCTGCAAAAAGGAACACTTAGAAGAATTAAATGTACTGATATAATTTAAAAAGTGATTATCTAGACAGTCACTAAGCCCACCCACTCCTACTGTCTTCTCCTAAAATAAGAGGGTAAATGATAATAAAATAATCTGAAATACAGGAAAGAGCCACGGAAGCAAGGGCATACTCTTTGATAGTCACTTTTGCTGGGGACACCACATGTCCTAGATTCCTCCTCTGAACACACATCCCAGAGCAGAGGATATTAGGAGGCTTTAGGAAAGGCTGCTTCCCTTCCAACCCGGGTGCCAGGAATAGGCCTGCCCAAACTATGGGGAGATGAAAGGCAAGTCCTGGAACCCATTAGACTCTGTTGGTCTCAACTCTCACTCTAGGCCAGAGTAAGTGCTTTAAACCCAGAGCACTGTGGACTGTCTAGTTTGATGCAGACTTGATTTTCCCACTTGGTTACATGTGGGCTCAGTATGCTGGCCAGTGGGATTGTCTGTTCTCCCAGATCTGAGCAGGAAGGGAGAGGAGGAAAAGGACACAGTGGGCTTATGGTAATGATATGGACATCAGTTACAAGTCCTCAATTATTAATATTTTATGTTGTGGACATGCCAATATCAGTAGGAAGAGCTTCATTATGGAATGTTTTAAAGTTTATTTTAAAAATAACAAACACTTCTTTCATACTTTCTGTTTCCTAGCAACAGCATATTGGTGTGCTTTCCTATTACTTCTTATTACCACCCCATGAAGCAGTTACCATCACTGCCTCTATTTTATAGTGGAAGAAAGTGAAGAAAAAAATTTTCCTGTATTTTATTTTGTAGATGAGAGGTTTTGAATCAAAGCAGTTAAAAACTTGGATCTGCCAAATTGATTTTCAAATGGGGATATTTTGCCTCCTTACAGGATAATGGACATTTCTGATTGGCATAACTTGGGGGGAGGGAACTGATAGCCACATTTACTGTGTGGAGGACAGGGATACAGGAAACATCCTACAATACACAAGACAGCACTCAACACAAATAATTAACCAGGCCCAAATGTCAATAGGGCTGTGGCAAGACTGAGAAACCATGAGCCAATCTTGCATTATTCTGCCTCACAGGCTTAATGGATTCTCCTTGACCCCCAAGTCCTTTACTCAATCTTCAGATTACTTACCATTCTCAATCCAGCCAACTATGTACATGGCTCCATTCTTCTGGGGTGCCACGTTCTGTCTTGTTGAAGTAATTCCTCCCAGAGCCCATATTTTAATACTGTATCTGCCATTTGCATCATAAGTGGTAAAATACCTTGAGTAGACACCATCATTCTTGATAGCATCAGCACCTTGGTGAGGAGATGAAGGACTCAGTGAATATCCTAAAGGCAACTGAGCATTTGTATATTCTAATCCATATGTGGCTTAACATTTTTTCAAAGCAAGAGAAATTCAGCTTTACCCCTAAGAAACCTTAAGGCTTGATTATAGAATGAGACCTGCTTCTTGTATTACACTCTGTGTGCATGTGTATGCATACGTGTGTACATTCTTTCACTATGAATTGTCCTTTCCTTTTGAAATCAGGGATCACTCACTGCGTGTATCTCTGTCACAGCCAATACAACAAAAGCCATCTACTCAGTAATTATCTGTCAAGACAAATTTAACTTCTCTGTGTATTTGACTGGAGAAGGACAATTAATGATTTCCCTAGGGGATGTTTGGATAGGAAATTCAATTACAAAATTCATTCTAATAAGGATACCCCTGTCAGAGTAAGCAAATGTATTCCTTCTAAAAAGAAATATAGAATTGTTTTTTTCCTTATATATTTTTTAAATTTTTATTTATTATTTTTATTTTATGTGTACGCATGTATTGCCTGCATGTATGTAAGTGCACCTGTGTCATGAAATGCCTGCAGAGGACAGAGGAGGTCATTGGATCCCCTGGAACTGGAGTTATGGACAATTGTTAGCTGCCATATGGGTGCTGGGATTTGAACCTGGGTCTTCTGCAAGAACAGTCAGTGTCTTTACCCGCTGAGCCATATCTCCAGCCCCATCTTCCTTATATATTTCTTAAATGCAAGAGAAATGGGCAGAATTCTTCACTTGGGGAATGAGCTTACCTTGAGTCTGCATAGACAATATAAGAATCATCTAGAATCATGTTAGAATCCATTTGTACTGTTTTAAGTATGATAACATTTCTCCACCAGTAATGGAGAGAGATAATAACACCTTGAAAGTATGTGGTGAAAATAAAAATGAAGATATATTATGTATGTTTATGTACACTTACATTTTGTATACACATGTAGGTGTACATATATGGAGGAGGTAGAAGGCTTGACAAAACATAGCTACTAATTTTTCTCCTTCCCTTAGTTTAAAGATCTAATAACTCCATATAGTCTCTAAGCCTATTGAACTCAAACCATTAAAGCAGAAGCTAAAATTATCCATGTTTTCCAACATCTGGGGATATAACAGTATAGGGAAGCAGAAAACTTAATCGGCCCCCAGTTTTAGGCTCCCTGCTTCTGACTGCCCTCATCATACCACCCCCTCTGCCATTCCACACTAGCTTCTTGGAAGATGAAGGAAAAAAGGAAGAAGGAGAAGGAGGAGAAAACACATTTTCCAATTTATTTGACGGTTACCTGCTCCATTATCCAATAATTCCAGGGTAACTGTTTTTCCATTTGCAGATTCAATCAAGGCTGTGACACTGGACCTGAGAATGGGTGAGGCCCCTTGACGAATAGTTGCATACACTGCTATGGGGCTGGGGAATTTGCCTGTGTTCGTATTTATTCTGGGGGTCACTATAATTGGAGGCAGGGTAGCACTTGATGCACGGGAGGTGACTGTCAGAGTCAAAGTTTGTGAGCTTGCCTGAAGACTGTATGTCCAAACGCCAACCTGACAAAAACAGATATAGATGTTTCCAGTGAGTAATCATGAGTGACAAAGACCTATCTTCAGTGTCACTTGTAGCAAATGCCTAGCTGATAAAAGTGTGCTGCTAAGAAGATGTGGGCGTCTTTGAGACACTCTGTCAGTCACAGCAAACCTCAGTGCATTGAGACTAACTACATGGTTCCAATTGTCAGGAAAACCCTAGTGAGAAAATGAGGCCTGAAATCTGTCTTTTCATTGATCACTGCCTGGGGTATTCAAGACACGGGTTTCTGAGGGACAGAAAATGTTTTTCATAATCCCAACGCTTCAAGGATCATTTTGCATATTGATTGCTATGTAGTTCAACAGTTTCCCTTTTGTTTTGAGACAAAATATTAACAATTTCCTGTCTCATGACTTACTGGCAAACTAACTTTTCACTGAATCAAGATTTTTCATTTTCTCCTTAAATCAATACTCTCTCTCTTTTTAAAAAAAGCTACAGTTTTATCTTGTCAAGCTATGAGAAGGAAGGAAGTGACTACGTACCTTGGCAGTGCCTGGGACTTGGAGGTAGGCCATTTTGGTGGCTGCATCTACTACAAAGCCACTTTGTTTTATTCCACTGGGATCCCAGAGAAGAATTTGGGGAGATTGTGTGGTCCAGGTGATGAGAAACAAAGTGTCCTTCCCCACTGTGCTGTCCACCACCACTGTGCCATTCATCCACTGCTTGTTCTGGAGAGTTAATCCCCTGCTCTCCAGCTGTCGAGAAAACAAACTATTTACCTCCAGGAGAATGCAGCTCACATCTCATGAGCTTACCATCCTGCCCTGACTCCCAGGTGCCAAGTAGAAGAGCTCCAGGGATTCTTGAGTCCTTGGTTTGGTATTTAGGGTCATTAGGATTCAGTTCTAAGTTACTAGTCTAGACTGAAGTTCCCGCAATATGTCTCTCTCCACCCAGATAAGATCACTTACCCCAGAGGATCCCATGAATACCCGACTTCATGCTTGGCTTCTCCTAAAAATCGTTACATCCTCTGCTTGTCTGAGCCTACGCACACTTCAGAATTCAGCTCAAATGTCACTTTCTTCTTGAAGCTTTCCCCGATACCCATCTTTCTTAGAGGTGTGACTCACTTTTTCTTCCTGTGAATTTTTATCTCTGGTAGCTCTCTGATGTTCATCACACAGTGCTTTACTGTTTTACTATTGTGTACAATTCACGTCTTACTCCACATTTAGGAGGACTTACTGCAACTATTTCTTATGCATGGGTAGATGATATAAATTATAGATGACTACAAATCATCAGGTTAAGCATCATGTCAATCTTTATGAAGAGGAATGAAGTAAACCCAAAATAAGATTTGTTATTTGTATAGAATGGGGTTGCTGCAGAGTAGGGACTGAAGTGAGAAACCCTTAACAGAGCTTCTGTAGAAAACATGACTTTGAAACTTGTCTCCTAGATACTTATTCATTATGCCTAAGGTGACACCTATGAGAAGATGCAGTGGCCTGGCTGTGGAGCCTGGCTTTCTAGTTTTATGGTTAGATCATGAATGATCCTGGATGTGGAGGACTCTTAAATCTGGTTCTTGTGGCTGCTTGGTAAATAAACACCGCTCCTCTCTCCATCTCCTTCTTTGTTAGTTTTCTTACATTAAAAGAAAAACAAATCATAGGCACTGCCTGTGAGTTTGTTTTCTTACAAGCTTAGTTACTTTTCTAGGACACATTCCTTTCCTTTCAAAACAAAGTCCTTGATTTTATTTTTAAATTCCATCTAGGATCACCCACATAGGTGCCATTGCTGTCTTCCTAGATTGGATAGACACTACATAAGTAGACCCCAAACCCTGTTGTTTTGAAATCTATCATTGAGGCCCTGACATACCACTGTTCTACCTGTACTCAAACTTTCACACGGGAGTCTAGATTCACACTGTCTACATGCCTATCATTTACTTTCTCTAGTTGAAAATTTCGTGTGTGCATAATTTCTGAAATCACTGTAAAAGAACATTTTGAAATTCATTTGTCATCCCAAAATAGTCCCAGGACTTTTGAAAGATAATTTCTCAACATTTTAGTGCCAGATGAGCCAATGGATGCTTTCTGCTTCATAGAGGTTCTTTGCTCAAGATCAGTTAATGAGAGGTGAGGTTCTTCACCAGAGATCAGTTAATGGCAGACCCAGATCCAGGAATTTTCATGGACAGCACAGAGTTTCCACAGTGCAAAGTGCTGTCTCTCCATTACAGGAAAATCTGGCGAACATTAGGGATGAGGTAATGGAAAAATGGGGCAAACGATGTCTGAACATGCATCCGAGAGAATTCTTAATTAAGATGACCTGTTCTGAAGAAAATGTGAGCCAATTATATTATAATGAGTGTTTCTTAGCAGATGTTTGAAAGGAATTATTGGACACACTACATTTTATGTTGCTGGTTTCTATGAGAGAGTCACTTAGTTTTGTTTCCAAATATGTAAACACTAATTGCCTTGTTTAAATAAGCAAGGTTACATTTTGAGAATAATATTCGATATCAAGCTGAAGAGTCTAAATCTTAATTCATGCATAGAAGACTGTAGGATTTAAAACATCTAGCTGTTAAGTTCTCCACCTGGGCTATGATTACAAGTAAACACTAGAAACCAAATAGTAAGAACACCAACCTGGATGGAACGCTGAGAGACAGGTATGTTTCCTGATGAAAGAGCAGCAAAGGCATCAATAAGACCGTTGTTTTGAGCCTGATCCGAAACATATGTCTGCAAACCTCCTAAAATACAATTACATTATCAGAAGTTATTTTCTAGGAAGTATTTGCAACATTTTAGTTGTAGGTAAAATAACAGAATACAAAAAAAATAAATATCTCAGTGTACTGCTAAAGTAAAGACATATCAACATCAAATATATACACATTAACTCAGAAGTTGGGGCTTTTTTTTTTAAGGCATTGAATCTCTAGCCCAAGCCAGTTTCAGATTCACTATTTAGCCAAGAATGATCTTGAATGCCTAATCCTCCTGCCTTTACCTCCCAAATGCTGGGATTACAGATTTACACCGCTATGCCTCATTGTTGCTGGGTTTTAACCCTAGTAAAGGATAACTTCAGCAACATCTGCATGGAGTTACTTCAGCTATCTGCATGCACACATGTATCATGTTTGTGTCACAGAGTATATATGGAGGTCAAAGAATGACTTAGAGTTGGCTCTCTCCTTCCACTATGTGGGTTCCCGAGATTGAACTCAGGTTGTGAGACTCACCAGCAAATACCTCTACCCACTGAGCAATCTTGCCAGCCCCAGGGAAGTCACTATTAAACTATCAAAATACCAACCAAAGTTAAGGACAGTGTTTCTGTAGTGTTGCTGGTGCCCACTTGTGTCCCTTTTCCAGGTGAGTCTTTGCCTTAATCTAAGCATTGGCTACTAGTGAGTAATGGCTACCTCATTTTTCTAGAGAATTGTCTCACTCCAAAGGGCCATGCCTAAACAGCCTTTGCCTAATGGACATAGCAATGCAAAGGGGAGTCCTCTTGCCTCAAGGAGAGACCAAGTCTATGATGTGTTTCTGGTCCAGAGCCCCCTCGACTATACTAGGCTAGACTCTGAAGCCTGAATTCATGCTTAGCTCCTTCCCCTGCTGTATCTGTCCCTTGAGAGCTCTCCACACACACCCAAACCTTTGTCTTAGGCTCTGCTTCTAGGGAACCCAGCTCAGGATGGGTAGTATTGGGTTCAAACAGTAGCAACTTATATTTCTTATACTATCCCTAAATAAAATGTTTGATTAGTCTGCTAAAGAAGCCAGGGACAGATGAGAAGGACCTGTCTGAACCATCTGTTTGTGTATGAGACTTAAATATGTAATATACTAAGCTTTCATGGAGAGACTGTTTTCATGCTACAGTTGAAGTAGCTTTCTACATCATTCATGGGGCTCTCTACCCCTCCCCTTCTCCTCCTTCCCCTCTTTCCCAGGTCCTTCTTTCCCAGGTAAAGTTAAATACACCTTTTGAACCTCGTTGCACGTTCTACTGCTAATATGCACTTGAACATGGTAGCATGTACTTAGTTGCTTGTTAACCTTTCCGGTTAACCCTTTAGATTCCTTCTAGTCCTTATAAGGTGCCTGAGTCCTCACTAGAGTGCAGAACAGTTATACCTTCCATTGTTTGGCCTACTTTTAGAACCAAGAGAGTGGGTGGAGTCATTTCTAATGTTGACTGAGGGGATTCCTTTTCTTCTCATCCCAACTTTACCCACTCCTCAGTTCACCGCAGCTCACCATCCATTGGGAGAGACAAGGTATGCCTGGGAAGAGCTTCCCTCACCTGTCATTGTGGACAGCTCCTCCAGCTCTTTAGCTGCAGAGGGCCCCAGGGCCACTGTGTGGATGATGGCTCCACTCTGCTTCACCTCATCGAAGCAACTGCTGATGGTGTTGTCCTCTCCATCGGTCAGCAACACAATTTCAGCTCCGTCAGTTGGGTATTTCTTCTTAATCACCTATGGACATGATTCAGAACAGCAATTAGCAGTCTTGGGGTGGCCAGGGTGTTTGTGGAAACCACTTTCATGGGACAACAAGGAGCAAGTCCAGAGGGAAAAAGCTAGCGCCTGGATATCTTGCAGTGACATTGTTACAGCACAACATCATGGAACTCAACAGTAACCTTTCTCGTTGCCATGCAGTGACATTGTTACAGCACAACATCATGGAACTCAACAGTAACCTTTCTTGTTGCCAGCCTGCTAGAACTGTTCCCATTTTACAAGTGAAATCAGGTAGATGCTACTGCATACAGTTTGATGTACCTCGACAATTCTGGCAAGGGATGCTGTACAAGGCAGGGTGGTCCTAGGGATGGCCAGTGCTTGGGGAGGACACGGGTTTTATGAGCTTCCCTCATCTGGTCTCTCCTGATGACGCTTCTAGAGAGTAAAGTGACAGGTGCCACTGCAAGGAACTCTGAACAGACCCAACCAGTTTTCTGCTACAGGGACCAGCAGGGAAGGGATCTGGAGGATGGTGGGAGATCCAGATCTCCTCGCCTCATCACCCTGAAGTCACACAAACTCCTCCACTGCACACTCATACTCACACTCTACTGGAGAGGAGCAGCACTGTATATTTCAGATGTACCCCTCACGCTTTGACTGAATGGAAAATACAGGAGAAATTCTGAGCACTGCCATCCCATCTGGCATGAGTCAGCATGAGTCAGCTCCTCTAGGTTTTGCATAGAGGAGCTCAGAATTGCACCCCAGGGCCTTCAGTTTCAGCGTTCCTCCCTTGTTTGCTCTGCTAATCCGAGCTTAGGTAAGTGGCAGAGGCAAGAGAACTGAACTGCACATAGGATCTGGACACCTGGTCTGAAAGGGGAGTTTTGCTTCTTATGCAATACAATTATTTTTTCTAGGGAACTGGCCTTTATGATAGAACAAAAGGGCTAAAGGGACAGACAACATTGAGAGAATTGTCGAGGTACATCAAACTGTATGCAGTAGCATCTACCTGATTTCACTTGTAAAATGGGAACAGTCCCAAGAGACATCAATTTGTGTTAAGTCCAACCAGCAGGCAGAGGGCGGACTCACCCAAGACTCTGTGAAGTTCTGAGGCTAGATCAGTGCACTTTTTTATCCTCCTGTGTTGAGTTTTGAGTGGTTAAATAGCTTCTAAATAAATGAAGGATATGTAGAGTAATTAAGCATTAGATATTGTCAGTGTACCAATAACTCTCAGTCTTATTTGCTAAGAACTTTGCACATAAATGACATTGTGCCAGCAGCCAGGAGGTCAAAATGTACGGCTCATTCAGAAAGAAATTTTGCTTGTTTGAAACACATTGATTAAGTTATATGATGGAAGAACCAGAAGTATTAAGAGATTAAGAAACTATAGTATTCAAAAGAGAGATTGCTGTACAGTTTGAAGAATCACAAAAGATGCAAAGAAACAGATGCTGCTTATGATGGATTGCTGGAGAATGGGATGGGTTGAAGTGAAAGGAAAGGAGGGGGAACTAGAGCTAGACAGACGAAGGTGTGGGCCTTCTGAAGGACACAGGATTTGATTTGCTTAAGCACAGGCTACTTGGAAGAGTCCCTGCTGTTTAAGCCTGGAAAGGCAAGTAGAAACGTTATTGTGGAAGCTATTTAACCATGGATAGAGGAAGTTTTACTCAATGTTGTTGAAAATGAGGTGACATTGATATCTTGGTGAGGCGTGGTGTGATCCGATGGTCAAATGAGATCTTTAGACATGACCCTGATACTATCATAGTTACAGTTATGGCCTCCTGAGTCAACAAATCACTTCCTTTCCCCAAAGAAGGTACAATATTCCCAGAAGTTTGGAGTGTTCAGCTGTTTCAAGGATTTGCCCTATTCAGGAGTCTTTTTTTTTTCTATAGAAAAAACTTTTCCAGATCCCTGCATACTTTCCCTCCCCAGCACTCATTAGAATTTATGAGCACACACTTATGTGCTGGTACATGCTTTATGTGTCTCGCTCAATGAGATTGTAAGCTCCGTGATAGAAGCTGTTGTACTTGCTTGCTTTCCTGGTTATTGTTAGTGTCTAACACACAGCCTGGAGAAGGCACATGAGAAGTATTACAAGTGCAGGCATGCATGCAGAAAAGCACGAATGCCCAGATGCAGAAGGGCACAGAGGGTGAATGAATGAATTTGTAATAGCTTTGGCGGCCTGTGTCTTTGTGTCCTTTGGACCATTTCTTAGTCCTTGGT